CTCTCTCTCTTAAAAATCATTAAAATCTATCTTTTCATGTGACATTTTTATATCTCTATGAAAGATAAGAATATGAAAGCATGCATTAAAATGTTAGAACATCTATAGAAATCATGCAAAGTATAGCGATGTATCTCTACCTCTTATCAGATTTGCAATAATGGTTATAACGTTCTTTCTATCATAGAGATAACAATAAAATTTACACAATTCAATTAGTAGCTAATTAATCGAAAAGCATCAAATCCTATGACAATCATCCAAGAATAAATACATATTGAGCATTATTGAACTTTTATTAAAACATCTTAACAAAGGTTCATTGATGCTTTAGTAATGAAAATTCTATCCTAGCATTGCAAAGTTACAAGAAAACATATTTAATTGGAACCACACAACGTGGATTATTGGCTAACATCGAGCATACTCTAATAAGTTATCTGTATGTTTATCATAAATTTCTCTTCTGATATCCAATTGAGGTAATTCAAAGTGCATTGGAAATTTATCTCAATTGGCTACAATTTTTCTAGAAATATCATTTTTCCAATTCGAAAATTTGCTATGCAAAAAATGGGTCTCAATATGTGGCTGAGAATTTTGAGCATAACTTGTACGGTTGGAAATTAATTTGTAAAAATGTTTTGACACTCTTTCGACTTCTAATTACATCTAATTGATCCCGTGCGATCTTCAATCATCATCTTGTGGTCTGAATCAACTATTTGATATTTGTAATTAGATCCCAAAACTTAGAATTTCTTCTTTTTTCGTTCATTTCTTCTTATTTCACTTCAAATTATCGAATTTTACCTAACAAATAAAATATACAAGAGATTAGGCCATAATTAATTATGAAAGCTCCTAAATGTCTATATTTAAAGACCCAGATTATCAAAATTATGCACTTATCAAATACTTTCAAACTTTAACATTTTTTTGTCTTCAAACAAAATTATAATATATTTCGACTAACAAACATGTACTAAGTTTTTGATTATATACAACTTTTCATTTTGTTTCAAAATTGGAATCATTATATTCAATATATAAACAACTTCAAGATCACTGCACTACAATCAATCCCAACTTTTTCAGTGTAAAGTGTTGACCCCGAAAAATGTGACATCGACAACAGATGTCGGGCCCACTCAAGCCAATTCAAGCAAATTCTAGCGCGTTTTGACTGAGTATCGGAAGTAAGGGAAACGTGAAAACGAGAGATGCTTCACGACGTGAAACATAAGAGTTCAAGTACCGGCGGGTGAAACAAAGATGACTACGCTAACAACAATCATCAATCAAATGCCCATGATTATCAGCTAAAGATCAAGCTAATGAATACGAAACAATTTAGATGATATATGGAGAATTTTTCATCTTTAGTGTGCATGTTAGAAAAACTGCTCACAAGACCGTTTTGTATTTCTTTTTAGATTTTCCAAGATCCCAAAAGTCCTCTTTTTCTTTAGAAAGACTTCTTATTTATAGTGTTTTAACTAAAGCTTCACATAACTGCCTTTCATATAATAAATACATTGACAACGTGTCAGTCACCCTATACATTAAGCGACACACCTGACATTCTTTATTACAAACGTAACGTCAATCATTTTTAAAGATTGTCTACAAATCTTGTAAGAAACATCTTCAACTTTAGGAGCTTCAGATGAACTGAGGCCTCGGTTGGAGAAAGCTTTGTATCGGTCTTCTGTGTGAAGAGCTTTGTCTTTCTCTAACTTTCTTTAGGTAGCACTTCGACTTAATAGGGAGTGCTTTGAATTTACGCGCTTCAGCCATTTAGGCAGTGCTTCTACACAATAGCTTCAGCCATTCATTTGATCTCTTGACTTTTGACCAATTAACTCTTTGTTGATTTTTCTTTTCACATGGATTGCTACGTGACATTTTGACTTGAGCCTCAGTAGCGAGGTGTAACAATAGTCTCCCAAGTCTAGGCATAATTATTTATAATGCATGGACTTGTATGTATAAAAATTTTGTTAGGGGATGGTTTTTACCACACTACAACAGTCCCCCAAATCTAAGTATAACTATTTATATTATAGTTAGAATTTAAATGTACCGGACTTGCACGAATTACCTGTTAGTGTTGTTTGAAGGTGCCTTAGGACATAACAATTCTGAAGAATGTACCGATGCTGTTTTATCCGAAGTGGCTTTATACATCCGAAGCTTTGTTTGAATTGGATAAGGTGGAGGGACTATGTTGCTTGCCAATGCTTCAATTCACTAATTAAGAGGAGCCATGTATTTGAAATATTTGGGAAACACGAGGCGTTTTCATTACTTCAAATGATTTGCTATTTTTGTACATTTTCAAGAAAAAGCAACTGAAGCGGTTCATCTTCTCATACACGCAACCATCACTATATTTAATGCGCAATGATGGTTGTCATGTGCATATCCTATGAAGTTTAGGCGCATGATAGCACATGATGAAGATGCTCTGATCTGGGCCGTAGAAGATGAAGAGGCAAATGGATTGAGTGGCTCAAATTTAAACTTCAAATGAATGGTCAGATGGTCCAGATCGACATCTAATGGATAGGATTAAGAGCTTCCGTCTATAAAGGCAACAGTTTATAGAAAAAAATCACTTCGCCTTTCATGCAATTAGCATTCATTTTTCCAAAAATCTTTTATTCTCCTTTCTCCTGGCATTCATCATTTTCTGGTGATTCTCATTTACCATTCTTCCATTTAATTCGTCAGTATTTTAAAACTTTAACCTCAAAAAATCAATGGCTTTTTCACACTCTATTTTGGGGTGTAGATCTTAGCGAAGTAGCTACTGAGATGGGTGTACAAATAACTAATACAGCTGACCTAGTTTGAGCCATCCAAGTAGGGTTGAGTGTTTTGCCTTTTGAGAAGGGTAGGAGAAACGACAGAATATTTTGGGGGCAGCCAAAATCCCTTCAATTGTAAATCCATCGCACTTAGCAAACCTTGGTGGAAAATACCGTATCCCCTACGGCATAGAGCTTATGTCTCCTATTCTTGACTAGCGAGCCTGTTTCCCTAGATAGGATTGTGTTGGTGTTGTAAGTTTGTTTTGAAGGCAAGCCTTCGACTATCCATCCACCCATTTTTTAGAGTTGTTTTGAGGTTGTATAGGCTGGCTCCCACCTAGCATGTCCCCAATGCTTGGGCCCAACTAGTAGGAACCTATATTCTGTGGAAGGAGATTTCCCTTGGAGAGGACATACCCCTCTATGTCTTTCAAATTTTCCAACCTCGAGTCCTGGGAAAGGGGATTCCAAAGGGTGGTATTCCTTATGTCTGTGGGGGTCACATTCCCCCTTTGTCTTAGGCATTCCCTCATCCATCAAAGGATGGAAGGAGACAAGGTTATGGGTAAGGGGGAAGTGACAAGACTGTGAGGATGACACAGTCCCCTACGTATCTGCCTTTTGATTTCCAAGTATTGACGATTATGATGTTAACCTTTTTTTGATGTCTTGTAGGGTCTGTTGAACTGTTCGAGCTTAGCCAAGGCGAGTGGAAGGTTCTTGCAGACATATATCGACGCCCCTCATCATCTTATGAATTTGACAATCTGATCATTTCCAGACAATTATTTGAAGAATTCTGTCTAATAGACAAAAGAGTAGTGTTCTTTTTACAATAAACTTTATTTGCTTGTCTGCATAATTATCGCTGACCTTGTCCTTTGCCTTTGTAGAAAATTTTGAGAAGAGGATGCACCCTACATCGACATGGCCACTATACTGGCCGCCACATCCACTTCTAGGATAAAAGGGCTGAAGCCCTCATTTGTTGTTGCTAAACTGGTGAAGCACCAAGAGGAGAGGATCATTTGCGAGGTCAGCAGCTAGGAAGGGGACGAGTGACTTCTCGTGAAGGATAGAGAGAAGAAAATAGTGGAGGATGTCCCCAAAAGAAAGGACCGCTTCTCAACAACTGGAGAGGGTAGGTCAACAGACATCCCACCACTATGATTCAAGGCCCCCGCTGGAGAAATTGATGGCAGCCTCCAACGTTGCAGCCATAGGGGGCAGAAGAGGCAAACTACCATAGAGCCCTTGCGACATGATCCTTCTAAAAGGGCGATGACTCCAAGCGACTCCACCACTTCTAATGCTTCTCCAAAAAACAAACTCATCCTAAAGAAGAGAAGCAATGAACTGGCTTCAAAAGCTCTTGCCTTACTTCCTCCCGAAGTTCAAACTGTAACTACCACACTAATTCCTAATTATGATAGGAATCTAATGCCCTCTAGGACTCTTAGGATTGCACTTCCTAGATCTATAGATACCAGCACTTATTTAATATTTAGATATGCGTTTATATTGATTCAGTTGATAACCTCACACATGTATTTTCATTTTTGCTAAGGGATGACGATGACACACTTTAACACATTTGTTTTAGGTATTGAAGATTATGTTCATGCTTACTCCCAATTCGTCAAGTTTGAGAATGCATAAGTGATTTTTGGTAGCGTCAAGCGATATAAAATCACAAGTGCTCGTCAGCCGGCACTGCTTGGCTCGATTCTTTACAAACAAGGCATGATCTTTTAGTCAATATAAGTAGATACTATCTCAATTTATTAATTACGGGCCCGTTTGATTCTCATTATTGTAGAATGAGAATGAAAAATATAGCACACAAAATATAGAAATTCAAAATTGATGACTTGAAGTGATGGATAATGATCATATTTTTCATTTTTATGGATAAAAAATGAGAAACAAATGGGGACTGCATGAATTGGCTGGCCACACGGAGTTACAAATGTCTAAACCCAAGTTAGCCCCTATTTTGATGTCCATTAAATTAAAACTCTTTTTTTCTTTAAACTCATTTTAATCATAAATTCATGTAATAAAATGTTTCATATATGTAAATTTTTCCAACTTTTAAAATTCACGTGAAAAAAAATTAATTTTCCTGAAAAACTCACGTCAAACCGACTAATTTTCTCTCACTCCCGCCCGCCTGCCCGTTGAATGAAAGGAGGGGGTTTTCTCAAAACCCTTCGCAGAACTTTGCTCACTCCCCACCCCCATAAACCTACCTCTCCCATCCACCTCCAGGTACTCCATCCTTCTTTCTTCTAAAGCACCAATTTTATGTTTTATGTGATACTGTAATTTTTTAAGTTCGATTGTGTGTGCAGATGGATCCATTGGAGCGCTATTGTTACAACCCAATCTTGCGTTGGAATCCCGAAGTTGAGGAATACTTTGTTAAAGCTTATGGAGCTGACCATTTTCATCGCATTTCCACAGCTCTCACGTTTGTATTTCTTCTTTTAACGTTTTTTTTTATCGTTATATGTTTTTGGGAGTTTCTGAACATTAGAAAATGTTGTTGGATTAAAAGATTGATTTTTGAGCAGTTAATTCTACTGCCCTTTCATATTCCAATTATGAAAAAACTGCAAGATCAATATTTGGAAGCCTGGAATTTAGTCCTCAAACTTAGAATAGTAAATACATTCCAACTCATGCTCAATTCTCTATTGCCAATAAACGTATTCATTTGTAAAAAGAAAAATGTTAACGTGCCATTGTAGTTAATTCCTGTAATTTTACCTTTAAAGAAATTATTTAGCCCCAATTCTTGATTCTGGGTTGTATTTGCTTTTCTCATTTTCTCAGTTTGATGTAAAAACCTAGATGTTTTGTTTATTTTCCAGCTCTGGAATCCATATAATGATGGAGATTAATATGAGGAGGATTGATTATTTTTCCCTTTTATTAACTGCAAGCTAATATATACTTCGTTGACCGCAATTTTCGTAAGGGTTACTTGGCCAACCAGTAAACACCCCATGTACATAGCTTCCTGCGTACGATAGCAAACCGTCATATACTCGTGGGATTTTTTTGTGGTGGTGGAGGCAGTTGTGAGCACTCCAACGGTCAAATTAGTTAACATCGACAGAGAATGGATTAATGTCCTTGATTCAAATATAATAAATTTTAGTGAAGAATTGCCTTGCCTTTCAAATGGTGCTGCGTGGGGTATTTATAGGGAAAGAGGTGGGTTTGAGATCGTTGGATGGACGAACACATGGCCTCATCTACCATACGAAGCGTCATCTCCTAGGCATCAATCAATTAGTCCATAGGTTGGAGGGCATTTAATGCCACATAATGAGTGGATTTTGTGATTTAACTTATTGTCTACTGTATAGACATTATGTCAATCAATCAGGTGGATCTTATTTTGGCTAGATCTTTGTACAAAAGATCCCCTATTAACGTGGATGAGGCGATGCGATAGTACTCCACAATGCCGTTCCCTCCTACTTTCTTCCGGGGTGATAAGCCTCGGTTCACAAACGTAGATAAGGACCAGGCCACATCGGCAGTTCTGTAACAGACACGTGGGATGTGGACCCTACTTATCTACGTAACTGGTAGTCACGTAGGTGATGATTTGGAGCCTCTTCGTAAGAGGCATAACATACTCTTATTGTTTTCGAGAGAAGCTTGGTTTCGGCCAATAATTTATTTTCTTCTTCGAGGTTAATATGGTAACTATTTTGTAATAGATGTTCCTGGGGTTCCTAATGATCACTATAATTAATTAAAAATCTAGGATGCCGATATTTTTGTTTTATTTGCAGTATCATTATGTTAAGCTCTTTAAATCTATCTATTCTTGAATGTTCATTTAATATCTAATCTAAATCTTCATGCTTTTGTTAGGCGCCCATCCTGTTACTCTTGTATACGGGTGAATACGCTCAAGTCCACGAGTGGTGATGTTATTGAGAAGCTTTTGGCTATTCTACAGGAGAGGAGGCAACAAAATGGTTCTACTGATGGAACCAATGTTTGCCATATCTCTGATGACCTTGCCAAGGCAACTTTGGGCTCCAGAGAAAATGTTCTTTCAAATAAATTTGTACAAGATTTTTTCATTGAGAAGTGCCAAATACCTAGTCTTGACTATGTAGTTTTTGTCAAAGGTTCGGGACCACACACTATTGATTATGGGCACAGAGCAGACAAACCTCCCAAAGAGGTGGTTGTAAGTCGGAAATGTGCTGAAGCAGTTCTTCGTGGTGCCCAGGTTAGCATGAGATTTTAGAAACTAGGCAGGATCTGTCTTTTCATTAGTTATAAAATCTTCCTGGAAAAAGTGACGACCAAGCACTCTATCTGAGAGGAATTGCAAATTATCACTTGTTCTACTATTATTTCCTTGTTTTTAGCGGTCACGTAGACTAAAGAATGCAAAATTATATTCCCATGGTTACTTTTTGATACTCGTACGTGTAGGTACCAAGTGTTTTGACCTGTAATTTTACATCTTTTTCTGGAGTAATATTATTATTAAATATTCACTGCATGCAAAGTCATCTTCTATTTATTTGCTTTACGATATTCTACGTAGGTGTATGTGCCAGGTGTTTTAGCCTGTAGTGCTCACGTTGAGAAAGAGGAAGTAGTTGCAGTGTCAGTTGGTGTAGAACAGCCTAGCACAACTAGTGGATGGGGAGTTGGTTTTACTCGTGGGACTATACTGCAGGGATCACAGACAGGCAAGAATTTCATATTTTTTTGCCTCCATTTGGTTACAGTGAATAAATATACTCTATGACAAGCTTATGGTCTCAGATACTAGTATGCATTCAAACACTCAATTCAAAAGTCTGGAACTTAGAGGACAGTGAACATGGAAAAGTGTTAGCATGACATATGGCTCATATCATTTTTTCTTTATTTTAAAAAATAAAATGATTATTTATGTTAAGTAAATAAAGTATTTGAAGTGGAACTGAGCTTACTCTAAAGTAAAACAACTAATGAACATACTAAAAGATGTCGTTGAAGTAATTGACATTGAAAATGCTGGATACATATTGCATACTGTTTCGAATCCTCTCAGGGCCACTGAGGTGAGTACCCGACTGTAAACTTCACGGCCCCGTGGAATTAGTCGAGGTGCGCGCAAACTAGTTTGGACATCCACGGTTATAAAAAAATATATATATATATATATTGCATACTGTTGAAGAATTTATTCAGCTAAATAGGCAATCATTTAATGTAAATTAGTATCTTTTCTCATGTGTGCCGCCGACAAATTTTTGTCACCTTGTAATTACGTTCTCTTGTAGTTATCAATTTCCTATTTATTAACAATTAGCTAAGATGTAGTAAGTTTTTTTTTTTTAATTTTGCAATGAAGGTTCTATATAGATCATGTACAATTATCAATAGTGATGTGAATAAAAATACCATTTTCTAGATGGTAGAAAAGACATGGTTTGGGTTCAAGTTGCTAGTATTCATTTTTAAAAAGTTGTGCACACGTCGGACCTGTAATCAGTAAAGAGTGCTTATCGAGGCGGAATTGAGTATTGATGCCTTTTTACTTCGTGCCTCGAGGCACTCTGAAGGGTAAGACTCAAAGCAACGAAAAAGCAAATAAAAAATTTTCTAATTACAAAAATAGCCTATAATAAACCATAACAACCTTGAAAATTCATAACGCTGTAGAACAATTGCTTATGCCTTAAAGCAACCAAAAAGCAAGCGAAAAAAAATGTGAAAATACAAAAAATAGCCTATAATAATAAACCATTACAACCTTGAAAAATTCACAACGCAATAGAACAATTGCAAGCATTTCTCAATTGATCATATTTCAGAGACTTGTTTAAGACAATATTTTATCATATTTGACGAGTTGTGGCAAAAAAAAATAAATAAGAAAAAGCATGCTATATAATCATGCGTGTTTGGTGCATACAAAAATTTATTTTTAACAACCAAAACAATAAGAGAATTAAAAGTACCTTTGGGGAGTGTTTATAAATGATTTAAACTATAAACAGATGAAAATGAGTGGTAGATAAATGGGTAGTAGTTGTGGTGGATCCTACAAAATGCGTGGATATAAAGGTTTGAGATATTATCAGTTTATAAACATTAGTTAAACATGGGCTACACAAACACAAAAATCAGAAGGATCAAATAAAAAACTGAACAGAAAATTGAAGAAAGAGAAGAAGAGGAAAAACAGAAATTAAAGGAAAAAAATTTGGAGTATCTGCTGCTGGACAAGTCGTGGGAGATGAAAGGTTAACAATTTGCTTTCTGTTTCTTATACTTCTTTGTTGTCCTAATTTAACAGTAATAAGAGGTGGATTGGGTTTTATTGAATCTTTTTAGAATTATTATCTGGCTTTTCCAAAGCATCTTTGACAAAACGAAAAGGTCTTTAACTTAGGTGGGCCCCAGCACAAAAGTTCTTAATTTTCTGAAGATTGATAGCAGCATTTAGGGGCGCATGCCTAATGCTCTGAGGCGTTCACATTGAGGCTTGCGCCTCATTAATTAGGCGCTTACGGCTTCCCAAAAGTGCATTAAAAGTTGCATTTGGCACTGACACTTAAATGCATTTTGAAATAGCACAGCGATGTAACTCAGTTGTTTGTTACACTTCAAAGTTTTTCAAACAAAAACAGTGGCGCATAAAATCGTAAGATAGTGATGCTTTAGTAGATAATGCATTTCAACACATCTTGCCTTAATATGCTGGACCAAACGAATTTTAATTATCCGACATCATTTAAGGATTAAGTTAAATTCTGATGTGTGCACTAGATAAATAATTTCTCCTTGTCTGGGTATATTTTGTCCTTTATTTACTCTGTAGGTAAATATTGAATAGGTTGTAGATTGTTGAGACTATATATATTAACACATCACATGTAGAACCCCATGCTTCTTTATTTCCTGCACAATTCTCTTTGTAACTTCTTGCATTTTACAAGTGTAACGAGTCCACAGATTGTTTTATAAAACGGATGCATGAGTGCCAGCCAAGTCCAGAAGCCGATCTTTTGTTTCTTGTTATGTTACTTCTAGATATAAAACAGCTAACACAACTGTATCCTTTCATAGAATGACGTAAGTGACAATAGTCAACGATGTGGTAATATTGTATATAATATTAGTTTCTTATGAATTTCATGGACACTTATAGTGCTGCTCATTTCTAAATAGCTGCACCGAGGTTTTATTTCTTCTCAGACCTGAAATGATAGAGATATCTGGCTATTAATTGAAATTTATGAGTATTAGACAACATATATCCAGTTTTTTCCTTCTTCCCTCTTGTATATATTTGTCTTCCCTAGTTGCAACTTACAGTCAATTGTCTCCCTTGTCTGTAGAATTTGACTTTCTAATTCCACTTTAATAATCATATACCAACTACATGGACAACCCTTGTATTGAGGCTCAAGTTCTTGTGTCAGACACTTGAACAAAGGTATGGCCTGTAAACTTCTTGTTAAGCATGAAGTCACGGATGAATCCAACAATGGGACACATACCCATGTCTGACATGTGCCCAAGTTCATGTAAGATAGTTCATGAAGGATTTTGGAAAACTTTATTGATAGCTTATATTAACTTGTTTGCAGATCCTTATTATTTTGAAAGAAAGGGTCTCTACATTGGTCAAGGAACCACAACGATGTCCAGAGCTGGGATCTTTCGTGCATCTGAAGGGGTTGCAGTGGATATGGTTCATAGAATATATAAATTACCTTCCTTTCGCAGTATGTTTCTCTTCTTTTGTTGATTTGCCAGACTATGTTTAGCAGAAAACACAAGATCATGTGTTGAACATATTTACTCCATTTATGTTTCAGCAACCTGGTTGTTGGACCATTATCAGATAAGATTGCCATTTTATTCCTTTCCAAGAGTTTACGAAAAGGATCGAATAAAACTGTCTTGGAAATACTAAATGAACATTGAACATATGCAGATCATTTATATTAAATATGGACCTTAAGAATGATATCAAATAATCTTTTATTGGAAATGGCCTCCGATATTTTTTTGGATTTCCCACCTTGTAAATCTGAACCAATTGTGGTTACTGCCTTTAATCCGCAGACACAATACCATTGATCAGAGCACACTCAACTTTCTATGAACTTGCTTTCAGAACAGGAAAGCAGAAATAAAATAGAATGCTATGAATAGGGATGGCAATGGGGCATGGCACCCTGTTCCTGCCCCTCAGGGAATTTTAACTCCCCGATCCCCACTCAAGGCGGGGCGTGTCTGGGTGTGGGGCAACCCTCGCCCCATCTATATATATATATATATATATATATTTTTTTTTTTTCTCTCAATGAAATCCAGTAATTATTACTTTATATTTTTATTGGGCACTTAAGGATTTAATTTTTTTTTTATTACTTAATGCATTTAACGAGGTTATTACTTTAGTCAATTGGCCCAAGTCGGGATCGAAAGAAATTATTATATAATCGAGGTTATTACTATATCGAACATTACTTTATCGAGGTTTAGCTTTATATATATATTTTTTTTTTTCTCTCAATAAATTCTAGGAGCAGTGGTTAATTACGTGGGTAATTTGGGAATTTGGCTAATGGGCTTGGGTAATTGGTTCAGGTTTGGGCATAAAAAAGGTTAGTTGGGGCGTGAACTCTGAAGTCTCATTGAGCGATTTCCAATTTTCAAACAAATTTTGAATTTTTTTTACATAATTAGACAACTGGGTTGGGGTGGGAATTCCCTGTCCCGGCCAGTCCTATCACCTATGGAAGTAATTTTTCCCCTAAACTGCCTTGACGCCATGAATAGGGTGGGGGCATGCTGGTTATTCAATCTTTTTGCCTTCCCTAGCTATGAAATTGAGAAGAAAAGAAGCCTCCCTGTATTTATCATCATGATGACTATGTTTGATATCATGGATAATTCAGGTTATTTGATTTTTATTGCTGTACAGCACAATATAAATATTATTTGTTGTCACCCTCTTTATTTCTTCTGAATCAGATGAAGAGGGCTTGCTATTTATACATTCAAGGAATTAGATGTCCAAAGAGTGATGCAAAATAGTGGTAACTGTAGCATCATATAGAAGGCTTTTCATTTGTGAGCTTCACTATTCTTTGTGGTCTAATTGATGCAAGTGCTTATATTTGACAACGAACAATTGAAGATTAAGAAAAGAAGGGTGCAAAGTAGGGAAGAATTGAGGGCAAAAGAAGATATCAATTTATTTATATAATTAAATGTTGAATATTACAATGAAACCCTCTATTTATAGAGCAAAAGAAACTGAAAGAATATCAAATCAAATGAACTACTACTAAACTAGAACATTATCGAAATATTTGAACTTTGAATCTAAGGAGATATATTTTGAATAAAACTCTATTTTAAAATCCTAATTAAATTGTAACTCTATGGAAACTCTGTATCCTTTCTCTATCGCCATCACTAATATTGTAATGTCCAACTATGGTGGTTAGTAGCTCTAATATACCAACTCAAAATATTTAATTCTTTGGGTGCAGATGTACTGGAGGGGGAAATATTCGTTCAGAACCTGCCCAGCATTATCACTGCCCATGCATTAGGTATGTCACTAATGCACTATAGTTCTTAAATGATCTATTTAGTTCATCAATTTATGTTCTATTTATTTACCTTTATATGTTATCACTCATTCTGAAACATCTTTTCCTTTTCTTATTTTGCATTACTAAAGTTCAGAAACCAGTGTCCTAATCAAGCACACCAAAACTTGATGTTTCTCTGCCATCAATATTAAAAATATGAAAGCAAAAAGTGAAGCAGGCTTAAGTGGCCTAATGATTGCCTTCAAGACATTAAATATAATGAACCATTCCTCTGTCTCATTTCCTCCTGTGAATTTTTTGTCCCTTCCTATTTTTTGGACAGATACAGTGTTTAGTCTGCAATATTTAGGAAGCAGTTTAAAGTTCCTCTGGTACAATGAATTTCTGAATAAATGAAAGGGAAGCTTTTAGGAAACATTTGCTGATGCGCGCTGGAAACTTGTAAAATTTGTCTGACATGCAATTCTTCATCTTTAATAAATTGTTAAATCTTAATACACTTAAAAGAGAAATATCATAACAGTATTATATGAAAAATTCAAGAGTTTCAATAATTTTATAAGAAAAAATCAATAGAATGACTTTCCTTGATTTTTGTTAGTTTTAAAATTGACTTTATGTTTCTTTTCCATAATTTATATCCAAAGAAAATATTTTGTATGTTGTGTGTTGAAAATTTGAACCATGCATATGAGAAAAGATTGTGAACTGGCTTTAGCCAAGGTGCATAAGCTGTGCAGCGGAGCACGGACAAGAAAGTGTTGAAAGTCGAATTACTTTGATAGGGGAGCTTCTTAAAACTCCTTAAAGCAAATCCAAAACCGAGAGCAGGAGCTTTCTCAAGAGATTTATATGATATTGGAACTGAAGTCTGTAGGACATACATGGTTACTTTTTGCATGAAGTTACAGCATGTAGAAGTTTTTGACGAAAGAGATGCAGTTAAAGGAGGTATGTTGGGTGGTTGAAATAACTGTGGTTAGTTAGATCAGTAATATGTCGATTTCAAGGCAGAAAAGAGGAATCTGGAAAAGGAAAAGATAAATTCAGAATGAAATTTATATAGTTATCTGCTAAAAATGTGATTTTGCTTGGACTGTTGCAAAGACCGTGCTTTTGAAGAACTTGACATTAGTGAAAGCTAGTAAAAGAATCAGTCCTCTTTGAGTCATATCTTCTAAACTTTAGACAAATCTATTTTAAGATGTTTAATTTTTGAAGTGCTGTCTTCAGTACCTGTAGTTATAGACGCTTCATACTTCTTTAGCTATTCATGCAAGGCAATTAATATTACTCATTGTCCAACAATTGACAAATGCTATTTCTGTATGTCCTAACTGCACATTTCTTTTCTTCTCTCTCTCTCTGCATAACACTCTCCAAACCTTTTTTCTTCCTTTTTGACCTTTATTTCCAACTAAGTTACGCGCTTCTGTCTTTGTCATAGATCCTCAGGAAGGAGAAAGGATATTGGATATGTGCGCAGCTCCTGGAGGGAAAACCACTGCAATTGCAATTCTCATGAAGGACAAGGGAGACGTTATTGCAGTTGATAGATCTCACAATAAGGTGCATCTACTGAACTTGATTGGTGACTGCACATCTTAATTTTTTTTATGAGGGTCTTCACTACATTATCAAAACTCACTCAGTTATTTCAAGATTGACTAGATGGCATGGAAGTTCATAT